CAGAGCAAACTAATTTATGTAGTAGCCAAATCTCTCGCTCACAACTTTAATGCCAGTCGCTCACAAAGTAGAATTTTTGCTCACAAGACTCCACAGCTTAGGGAGAGCACTGGTGCCCACCCACCCACGCCCTCCAATATAGCAGTGGAGGAGAGAAGCAGGCAGTTGAGGGAAGCAAGTCAAAACGAGCTCTGACTTCTCCTTGACTACTTGTGGTGGCCACTGACCCATTTTCTTCCGGGCTTTGGGATTACTATGGGATCCCAATAGGCTGACTTGGATGTCATCTTTTTTTCCTGATGTCTCTGATTTCTTTTGGGTTTTGGTTCTACTCCTTGGATTTTCTTTTTATTTATGTGTGGCCTGCCCTTAGCTATAAGAGAGCAACAGCAGCTACAGCAGTATTAATGACAATATTTACACTGTGCGGTGGCTCAACTGATTAAGACGCTGAACTGCAGGCTGTGGAAGGTCAGTAGTTCAGCAGTTCAAGACCTGGGTGCCGCATGACGGAGTGAGCTCCCGTCTCTAGTTCCAGCTCCTGCCAACCTAGCAGTTCGAAAGCAAGAAATTGCAAGTAGATCAATAGGTACCACTTCGGTGGGAAGGGAACAGCGTTCCGTGCGCCTTGGTGTTTAGTCATGCCGGCCACAGGACCACGGAAACGTCTTCGGACAGCGCTGGCTCTTCGGCTCTGAAACGGAGATGAGCACCGCAACCCTAGAGTCGGACTCGACTGGCTTTCGAGCAAGGGAACCTTTACCTTAAGAGATCAACGAGAGCTTTGCACACGGGGCCAGACCACAAACATAGCCAATAGTGTTTGTGTGTGTGCAGGGAGTTGCAGAAAAAGTGGCTGACATTAGGAGGTCAGATCACCAGCCTCCAGGTTGGGCCTGGAAATCTTCCAGAATTACAACAGATCTCCAGATGACAGAGATGAGTTCCCCTGGAGAAAATGGCAGCTTTTCAGGGAGTGCACTCTATGGCATTATACCCTGCTGAGGTCCATCCCCTTCCCGAACTACACCCTTCCCAGGCTCTGCCCCCCAAATCTCCAGGAATTTCCCAAGCTGAAGTTGGCAACCCTAGTAGAAGGGTTAGCCCCCTCCCCGTGGTGGGCAGTTCTCTGCTGAGGCAGTTTGCAATGGAGTAGAAGCTGCCGTTGTATTCTTGCACACAGGCTGAAGTATAGTATGTAGCTTGGTTCTCAGTTATCCTTAGAATGTTGTTGGTCAGTCACATTACCCACAACACACCACAGTTTGGGGTGGGGAGGGGTGAAGCAGGGCTGGAGGCCGAATCCCACATTAAAGATTTCTGCCTGGACTCTGATCCTTCCCAAACATTTCAATAATTTTTTCCCACCTTGTGCCACAATCGGGAGAAACAGCACAAAATTAAGAAAGCCCCAGATGGCAACACTTTTCTTTCTACTGCCCTCCACTTCTCAGGCTGCATTGCTGAAAATTAAAAGCTAATTTCCCCCAACTGTTCCCTCTACGCTCCACTTGATTTGTTTTTTAGCATGGGATAAAAATAGCTCCACGATGATTGGGATCACCAACAGGAAAGTCGGATGATTACAGGCACGGGCCAGGTTTCAAACCTCAGAGGTACGCTGATTGAAGGAAATGGCGCCTCATTAGTCAACAAACCCCTAGGAACGTGGGGAAGAGCCACTCGTATTCACAGGCAAGTAGAGAGCTAAGTGCCACCAAGGATGTTATAAATAAGCTGCTTTGGTGCACATTAATCTTAAGATCTTTTTAAAAACCAGAGATGTGTAAAACTAGTAAAGCTTTGTTTAGACCAGACTTCTGCTCTGTTTACATATTCAAGGGGTAAGTCGGTGGCTGAAATGCATTGAGAGTTTACAACCACAGACAAGACTGAGAGCTCCTGACCTGCCTCTCTTTCCGTTCCAGTATAAACAGTCAGGTTAATAACAGCAGGCTTGCTATTTTTTTGGGACGGACATCACGTTGTTCTGTGGTGGCCTGAATATAACTCTATATTATCAAAACAGCAATGTGACCAATACAATCAGGAATTCCTTGTTTGTGTAGATGGGGTGGTTGCCTTGGAACAAAAGTCCTGGGAATTGTGATTGTATAATCAAGCCCTCGAGGTGTCATACAGACACTTAAACAGCAAACGGCCCAGGGCAGATGTCATAGCGACGCCAGGCAAAGCATGGAAACCCATATCTATCCTAGAGAGCCAGTTTGGTGTTGTGGTTAAGTGGCTCTAATCTGGGAGAACCGGGTTTGATTCCCTACTCCTCCACTTGCAGCTGCTGGATGACCTTAGGCAAGCCATAGTTCTGTCAGAGCTGTTCTCTCAAGGACAGTTCTGGGAAGAGCTCTCTCAGCCCTGCCTCCCTCACAGGGTGTCTGCTGTGGGGAGGGGAAGGGAAAAGAGTTTGTAAGCCGCTCTGAGACTCTGAGTGAAGGGCGGGGTACAAATCCAATCTCCTCCTCCTCCTTCTTCATAGGGGATCCTGCCCACTCCCTCCTCGGAGCCTCACCACTGACTTATGGTGACCCCATAGGGTTTTCAAGGCAAGAGATGTTCAGAGGTGGTTTGCTTGCCTGCCTCCACGTCATGACCAGTGTTCCCTCTAAGCTGAGTTAGTGTGAGCTAGCTCACAGTTTTTTAACCTCCAGCTCACACATTTTTGTCTTAGCTCAGGAAGGATGGCTCCAGGGCAAGCTAATTTATGCAGTAGCCAAATCACTTGCTCAGAACTCTAATGCCAGTAGCCCACAAAGTAGAATTTTTACTCACAAGACACCACAGCTTAGAGGGAACATTGGTCATTGACCCTGGTATTCCCTGGTGGTCTCCCTTCCAAATACTAGCCAAGAGTGACCCTGCTTAGCTTCTGAGATCTGGTGAGATCGGGCTAGCCTGGGCTATCCAGGTTAGAACATTCGTACATGCCTATCCCATATAGAAGCTGGTGGAATAAAAAAAAAACATGGCTCCATTCTTAGCTAGGGACTGAAGTCATGGTGTGAACGAGGTTTACAAGCCGTTAACTTGTATGGTGCATGGTGTATGGGAAGCATGGTGATGAGGGAGTGATGCACCAGAGCCAAAACAGCCTGTGGTAACTAAAATGTGCTCTTCTCCCAATACAGCTGCAAGCTTGAATATTTCAATCATCTAAAGCTTCAGTGTACTAATTGACAAGAGCCAGTTTTAATCAGTTTAAAACTGGCTCCTGCCAATTAATGCACTGAAGCTTTAAACGATCGATATATTCAAGCTTGCAGCCATAGTAAAAATAAACACTCAGATTTATGAGTGACAGGTCTCTGCAGTGAGCATTCATGACAAGCTATCGCAGCATCCCAGACAGGAAGTGGCCAGGTGGTGACACAGTAAAAATCAGAGACTCTGACCCTCAACACCTGGCATGATGTGTGCTAAAATCAACATGCCTGGAGGGGGTGCTGGTATAAGCCTGCTGGCCTCATTCTGCCCCCCCCCCCACGTGCAACCACAGGCTCATAAGCTCAGAGTCTACGTGCATGGCATGTATATGCATGTAGGCCCCTTCCCTCTCATGTATAAACATCCAGCCAAACCTCCTGATGGCCATGCCACCCACCATTTCAGCCAAGGGCAAAGATGTTACAGAGACATTCTAGCAAGGTCTGTAGCCAGGCTGTTCAGTCAAACAATAAACCAGTTCAAGCTCTTTCTACTCTGCTGAGAATGCAGTGTAAACCAGATTGTCCCATACCTTGAGTTCTTGTTTAGGCTCAATGTTTTTAATGGTTGTGAAATAAATATGATGGCCGTATTGGTAGGCGACGAGGTTCTGTTCTAGATGATTCTGGGCAGGTCGCACAAACATCATCCAGTTGCAAAGAGCCTCGCTGGACAGCTCAAACCAGAGATCTTCCTGCAGTTCCCAATCTTTTCGGTCACCCTTCTCGAGGGACACCTGAGACAAAATTTGTAAAAAAAAATTGGGGTCAGGAAGCAATCCTGAAGGGTTTTTTGTCATCTTCTGGGCATGAAACAGTGGTCAACTGCAGGTGTGGAGGGGGAGGTATTTGTGAATTTCCTGCATTGTGCAGAGGGTTGGACTAGATGACCTTGGAGGTTCCTTCCAACTCTATGATTCTATGGAACAAACATAGAATGCAGGGGGGCGGTTTGGCCTGGCATCCCCCTCAATGATCTCTCCTTCCCACCCTACATTTCAATCAATATTTTATGTGATTTTAAATATGTCTTTTATTTTTGGTCTTGTTTTTATGGATTGTTTTTTATAATGTTTTGTTTTAACAGTCACCAGGGCCAGCCTGACTACTAAGCAAAACTAGGCGATCGCCTATGGAACCAGAGTTAGGGGACGCCGAAGAGCCTGTGCGTGCAGAGGGGAGGGGGTACTGCCTTATACAGAGTCAGACTACTGGCCTATCGAGCTTAGGGCTGTCAACATAGGGTTGCCAATCCCCAGGTGGTAACCAGAGGTCTCCTATGATTACAACTGATCTCCAGGCGACAGAGATCAGTTCACTTGGAGAAAATGGCTACGTTGAAAGGTGGGCTCTATGGCATTAGACCTTACTGAAGTCCCTCCCCTCCCCAAACCCCGCCCCCCTCAGGCTCCATTCCCACTCTGCTTGTGCAGAGAACACTACTTTAATTTTGGGGGGATTTAATCCCTCCTGTGTATTTTAAAAAAAAATAAATCAGATTTTTCTGCAAACCAGGGGAGTCTCCCAAGTGTGCAGAAAAATCTCTTTAGCCCATACGTGGCCCCGATCCATGGATATAGATATCCGCAGATGGTGGCCGCAGGTGGCTAAAAGTACATAGGTTGCTTTCCCCTCTCCCCAATATAAAATGCATGGATCTCATCTCCGTAAACGGGGAATGTTTCTATTTTATTTTTAATGTTTAACATTTATAAACATTGACCCTCAGCAATAGGCTGTATTTTGTGATTATTTTGCATGTTATGCACAGGTAAATCCAGTCTGTCATCAAGCCTCCCAAAGCCTCCTCTCCTACTCCACACTGGTTCTCCTCCTTTCTCCTGGCCTTGCAACTCACTTGCTAGAGTGTCATGGCCCAGACAACACAGAGTTTGAGAACCACCATTTGACACAAGCTTTGGGTCTCCTGATTTGAAGGAGAGGTGTACAAATGTCCCGTTTTCAAATCATCTCATAACTGCGGATGGATGATCTGCGTCATCCATCTGACAAAGCAGATTCTACCCTATTAAAGCCCATGGCACAAATAGTTTGTTGGTCTTTCAAGTGCCACAAGATTCTTGTTTGTTTCTGACGATAAGGAAGATAAAGCAGATAAAGGCTACCTGTTAGTCAATGGGATTCTTGCATACAGAAAGGACGGACATTTCTATTACACAGACTATACGAACTGTCTCTCTGACACCAGCATTTGACATGCATTAATATACAGTCACTACCGTTCCCTCTGAGCTGAGTTAGTGTGAGGTAGCGCACAGTTTTTCAGCTTCCAGCTCAAAGATTTTTGTCTTAGGAAGGACGGCTCCAGAGCAAACTAGTTTATGCAGTAGCCAAATGGCTCACTCACAACTTTAATGCCAGTAGCTCACAAAGTAGAATTTTTGCTCACAAGACTCCACGGCTTAGAGGGAGCATTGACAGTCACACTTCCATTTTTTGCCATTTCAGGACTCCGAAAAAGGAAATTAGTGGGCAGAAATTTGCATCTCAAACCACGCAGACTGCACAGCAGACGGCGCACCTTTACCTTTAAATGGATGTAGCAGTCCTTGAGCTCTGACTGCCTGACCAGAGGTCCTTCCACAGGGCCAAACTGTGTGCGCTTCGGAATGCGTCGTTTGGAGAACACTCCTCCCAGGAATCTGTCTATGTAAAGGACCAGGGGGAGGCTGGCTCTCGCTCTTGTTAATACTGGTCGGTTTGGGATCGGGTGCAAGGGTCCGTGCTTGGGGCAAACAGAGGGATGGGCGTTATTACACTCTTCACACCCTGAAACACACAGTTAAAAAAGGATATGAATAAGTGAACGTTACCTCACATTTACTGATACAAAAAAGCAGCAAAGTACACAGCCACTCTGAATCAAATATTTGCTATCCGTGCCCCATGCATTCAGAGTTTTTATGGCTCAGACTACACACGCGACTGGGGATCCGTAGTATAATTTGGGGAAGGAAGGAAGGAAGGAAGGAAGGAAGGAAGGAAGGAAGGAAGGAAGTACACGCGACTGGGGATCCGTAGTATAATTTGGGGAAGGAAGGAAGGAAGGAAGGAAGGAAAGGAAGGAAGGAAGGAAGGAAGGAAGGAAGGAAGGAAGGAAGGAAGGAAGGAAGGAAGGAAGGACAAGTCAGGAGAAAATTACCAAAGACCTAGACAATCAAAACTGTACTTCCTTGGCAACTAAAAGACAGCAGAATAGGCACAAAATAAAGCTCTAGGGGAGGGTGTTATATAAATGAGGCACCCCCATTTGAAAAGCACTGTCCCTGACAGCCATCCAGCTTGGAGCACAGAGCAGGGTTTGAGACAAAAGATCTCCGGTGATAATCAAGAACCCTTCTAGTCAAGTAATCTGGAAGAGCTACCTGGGCCACGATTCTCCGCAATTCTCCAGACCTTCTGCTCTTCTTCAGTCTGAGTTACCCATCCCACAGGCGAGATCACTTGGTTATTCCTTAGTGCTTCTCAGGCACATGGCGTCGTACCAGCACAGCCTGCCTTCTCTGGTTCTGAGCTCTGAAACTTGCGTATGAAACCAACTACTTCACGGATTGCATTGTTTAGGTGTGTGCCCCAGCAGTTCCTTCTCCACCCAGGGTATGAGTGAAGGCATACAGAGCTGGTGTGGCATAGTGGTTTGAGTGCTGCACTAGGATCGGGGAGACCCAGGTTTGAATCCTCACTCTGCCGTGGAAGCTTGCTGGGTGACCTTGGGCCAGTCACAGCCTAACCTACTTCACAAGGTGGCTGTGAGGATAAAATGGAGGAGAGGAGCAGGCCTGTAGCTACAGTGGGGCATCTCGGGGCTAGGCCCCCTGACTTACTGGCAAGGCCCCACAACTTCCCATCCAGCCCAGGGCCTCTGAGCAGTGGCAGGTGAGGGGAAGGAGCCAGGGATTCCTGCACAGCTGTCTGGCAAGGAAGGAAGGAAGGAAGGAAGGAAGGAAGGAAGGAAGGAAGGAAGGAAGGAAGGAAGGAAGGAAGGAAGGCCAATACAGATATACTACTGGGAAAGGTTAAGGGTCAGCTTCTTGCCCCTGCATCATTCCAGCAATCAAAACTAGCATTCCCTTCGGTCTGCTTTAAGCTGGGGGGGAGAACGACAACGGGTACACTTTGGGTACCTGTCTTTTCCCCTACTGTAACTAAAAGTAATCTGGGAATGCCAGTTTTGATTACAGGAGCTTTGCAGAGCTAAGAGTCAAACCCCCGCATCCACAGTGCTCTGGCCCTTATGGTGGCCCTGCTGCTTCACCGGGAGTGGCATAGAAACTACGCTGCTCAGTTCTGCTCCACTTGCCGTTATGAACCCCTTGCTCCTATTAACCACAACATCAGTGCCATGCTGGCAAGAGAAAGGATCAATGCGACTGGGTAGTGAAGACGAAACTTCTCCTTGTGCCAGTGCTGATGGATCAGCACTAGATCCCGTGTTCTGTTAGCCCTGCACATTAGACAGTGGGAGTGAGTTACTATGAGCGGCCGGCTGTCTCTGCTCTCTGCCCACTTCTCTGGCTCTGTGGTGGCAGTTTCAAGACTCCCCTTCATCTGTCTCAATGTTTATTTTCTGGTTACAAGCACAGATGGACCCAAGCCAATTGCAGAGATCAGTCCAGCAAATAGATATGCTCCATTAAAAGGGTTTGGATTCATTCACACAGGCTGCCTCCACACAGAGGTTTTTCACTGCTACAGCTACTAAACTGGAGGGGATTTTTAATTTTTTGACATTGTGGTCTAACCGTGTGCCAATTGTTCCCTCCCTGTCCAGTATGCTCTTTCCCAAACCAGCTTTTCTCCGGTCTTTTTAGAAAGACCGCAGACCAAGCACATAATTGCACACATTTTCAGAGGGCCTGCCCACACAAGCATCCTTTTCCCTTCTGGCAGCCCTGCAGAGCTGCCATTTCCCCCCACCCTGCCAACCAGAGATTTTGGGGACTTTTATTTTTAAAAACCTGGTATTTGGTATAGTGCAACCAGGCTAGGCAGGGTCAACCCTGACTAGTATATGGATGGGAGACCTCCAAGGAATACCAAGGTCATGACACAGAGGCAGACAATGGCAAACCACCACTGAACATCTCTTGCCTTGAAAACCCCACAGGGTTGCCATAAGTCAGCTGTGACTTGATGGCAAAAAAAAATATGCAATAAGAATTACCAATTTCTTTAAAAGCCCTTCGATGGCATACTGAGGGGAAAAAGCAGGGGAAATGGTAGCTGACAGAGGAACGCACGCAGAAAACTACCATGTAACATTTCCGCTGTCCCTGATTATGCCGATGAATTTACAGGGGCAAATAATGCAAGACAAAGAATCCTTGCAGTGCAGATGCAGCCATAGCTGCCGAAGTAAACCCACAGAGGTGAAACGAGACCAAAGCACTTCCTGGTTGGCTTACACAGGTCATTTGGGTCAAAGGGGCGAGGTGGATCAGGGTCCCATTCATCCATGTCTGTATCTTCCCCCTCTTCCTCCTCCTCTTCCTCCTCCTCCTCTTCCTCCTCCTCCTCTTCCTCATCATCTTCCTCATCCGCATCATTTTCCTCTTTTGTTTCCATGCTATCCATTGGGTTCTGCAAAGCTTCTAGAGGAGTAGCATCATCCACGGCCTCCATAGGAGGCAAGACCTGGTTATGCACAGGTATTGACACCTAAGAAAAGATTTTAAAAAATGGTATTATCCAGGGCAGCTGACCAGAAGAGAACAGTGATCATACCCTAGGTAGTTTACCAGCAGCAGCAAGGAAATGAAGAGAGGCTCTTCCTCCCATCGCCTTTTAGGAGCATAATGAAGCTTGCATCCAGATCTGCAGCCAAATGACCAGTCTATCCCTGCACTATTTCTGGCCCTCCCAGCAAGCTCTTCCCAGACATTACAAAACCAGCAAGATCACCCAATGCCCATTCACACTCTGAAACTGAAAAAGGCTTGGTTGTACCTGTCTTACTTAAAGGCAGCATGGGAGCTGAGTTTTATTAATTAGATCAATTAGGTATGCGCACTGGGTGAAGAATGTTTTTTTTTTGGGGGGAAATAATTTTATAAACTTCTTAAAAGCTACGTGATTACATTTTTTGCTTCCAAGGCAGAAATGCACGCTGCTGTCATGCCTCCCACTCTCTTCTTCCACAGATCCCTTTGCTAGCCTGCATCCTCCACCAACCACAGAAAGCAATGCTCCGGTGTTATCCCACCGAAGATGGGACAGAGATGGGTGTGCCGTGGAAGTGAAGGCTTAGAGTTAGAGGCTGAAGCCCCTCCCGTGGCCTTGGAATGTTAAAAGTGTTCTGGCTTTGGCACCTGCAAATCTAATCCCAGCGCACTGTGCTTGCATCACATCTGCTTCACTAGCCATATCATGGCTGCGGTCACACGGAGCATTAGGCATGCTAGAGAGACGGAAGATAGGCAGATTTTCTGGGCTCGATCTCACCGCCACATCTGGGAAGCGTAGAGCTCCCGTGGCGAACCCAAGGCTTCCCACCGAAGATGCGCGGTTAAAAACTAGTACCTCGGAGGTACTAGTTTCCGGTAACCGCGGGGCAAGGCCGGGCATCTGATTGCGTTTCCAGTGGTAGTTCTGGCGCCCGCCCATGCCCCCTCGTATAACGGTGGATTTTTTTCAACTGTTCATGGGATGCGCACGAGCACCCAACGGGACATGTGCACACTTTGGTGTTCGGAGAAAAAAACACCCCTTTGCCGCGCCACGCCGCTTCTTTGCCGCGCCACAGGATTGTGGTGTGCTCAGCACCTCCCCCTACCACGGGACCTCCATGGGACCTCCAAGGTACGTCTGCTGGCGCAACCGTGCGTTATTTTGCTCCGGGGAAAACAGCCACGCTCCCCCCCCCCGCATTTTCCTGCCCATGTGCCCGCGGCCCATGTGTATTTTTATGACACTTGGCAGGAAGGGGCTGAGGAACATCTGTGAAAACATTATTTGGTAGCTCTAATAGCACAGCAGGTGACTCATGCCAATCACAAAAGCGACACAACCAGGCCATCAGCAACCAAGGGGTGTGTGTGGGTGGCTGGCTGTCTGGCTGGCTGGCTGTCTATGCGCTCAACAGACTCCCCCAATATGCAGGAAAAGATGAGTTTTTAAATTAAGAAAGATAAACCGTCAAAATGACCTGATAAGTCCTGAGCATGCTCTAGGAGGCACAAAATGTTGAGAACAATTAAAAGTCAGTTGTGGGGGGCGGTGAAGCACAGAGTGAGATGGAGAAACTGGCCTGTTCGCCCTTGAGATTCACAGAATCCTGGATGAGGAGGCTTGGGTACCAATGGGCGAAATGTCCAAATTGTTTCTCCTTCTGTCTTCCTGAAACTCCTTATGGGTCTCTAAAATGTCTCCTCTAATAGCAAACTTTATGGTTGAGTGTTTATCATAAAGGCAACAGAAAAGCCCCACGGGCAGGCCAGGCTGGGACTTCCTAGGTATGCAGAAAAATTTTAGTCTGTGATTTAAAAAAAAAAAATCCCCTTAAAAATGGCATGATTAGGACTGAACATATTCATTGCTCTTGAAACACTGAGAACTGTTGAAAGTCAGTAAAGAGGAGGGGAATCAAAGGGATATCACCAAACTGGCTTGCATATCCCCTTTAGATCTTTTAGTATCTTGGAAAGGGGGATTAATTTATTTCATTTATTTAAAACATTTCTATGCTGCCTTTCCACCCAAACAGGGTCTCCAAGGTGGCAAACATCAAATATTAAAACATTTATACAAGTTGATAAAAATATGCGAACATACGAACACAATGCAACCGAGATGGAGGGCCAATAAGAGTTACAGAGGGGTGCCTGGAAGGGGAAATTTCCCAATCCTTTATCACCCCTGCAATTTGTCATGGGCCCTTAGCTTGTAGACCAGACCCTCTATACTAATGATAACTAGGAGGGTCTGATGAATATTGTCAAAGTTGTGCCTGGGTGAGCTGAGCTGTTCGGCCATGAACTCAAGGGGTTGGATCTTGTGGATCTGTTCCACTAGCAAAGTTATGATCCACTGGCAGAAGGAGCCCTCCCCAACACGAGTCGTAACGGTGGCTGTAAGCAAGCGATCACATCTCCTTTTCATTTCTCCCCTCTAAGTGAGAATATATGGTGGCTAGCCTATGGTTAGGTCTTGTGAAAATATTTAGCATAATAAAACCACTACAAAAAATGGTTAATAAGAGGAAGTTCTGCTGAAAGAATGCACGGAAACTTCAAGCCTTTGAATCCTCAGAAAGGCACTTGGCAACTCACCATCCCCTTTCCCTTATTCCATCTTCAAGTTGCCACCCAGGGTCTCCATTTTCTGCTTTAATTAGTTTGACATTAAAATGTGCCCTGAAAATGATCCAGCCTATAATTTTCTCACTCCATGAAAGCAAGGGAAAACAATACTCAATGCACTCCAAACACAGGGTTCAGCAAGGAACAAGCTAATTAAAACCTAAAACCCTAATAACAAAAGGCAACCTCATAATCACCCTAGGGCAACGGGTGCTCTAATTTTGAAGAACACTGCATTTTATTCTTGACACGGAGAAGAGAGAAATGTCCATAGTGCACAGTAGATTAGGCAGAAGTCAGTATAGCGAGGAAAGGGGGGAGGGAACCTGCCTGAAGATAGCTCTGGATCAAGTCATCAAAAAGTAATCCTGAAGGATGACTCTTCAGCTAGGTTTTACATAAGGGCTCAAGGAGATCCATAGACAACACTGACCTCAACCAGGGCTATGTACAGCCTGCGTTAAAAAATAAATAAATCTGGACCTCGTGACAAGGAAACCCAAATTCTGTTGTAAAGATTCCTCAAATTCTGTAACCGGAATATATTATGCAAATCAAAAAAGTACAGATATGCTGGTTACTTTTCTTCTAGCCCTGCCGAAGAACAGAGAGCTATACAGAGAACTGGCATACCTGCGGGAAAACAGATGCCTGAGATTATAGGGCACTGCCCCACAAGTTTCTCTAGGGGCAGAATCTTATTGATTTATTTGGGGGTTTGGGGGTGCAGAATTTGAGGTTTTGGGGGCTTGGGATGCAGAATTCTGCACCAAATGGCAACATTCCTTGAATGTGTGAAGCAGCTGTAAATGTGTAGAGCGTTCACATCAACAATGGCTGGGGGGGGGGGTTCGATCTGTGTTCTAAGAAACCTTGAGAAGCCTAGGGTTGCCAAGTGGCACTTACCTCCCGGTGGGGGACTCCCGTGTGGATCCTGGCGCGTGCGTGCGGCACGCCGCATGCACGTCACAGGGAAGTGACGTCATGACGCCGGGCACGCTGGGGGCGGGGCCATGACCATACAAGGGAAAACCATGCTGGGGCGGGGTTCCCCCCGGGGCCCGATTCCCCAAAGTCGGGGAACAGGCCTCTGGGGCGGGGGGTTTTCCGCCCCCCGGAGGGACTTGGCAGCCCTAGAGAAGCCTCACAAACTGATTTAAAGTTGCCATCATCTAGGTGAAGCCTGAAGATTTCCCTAAAATTATAACTGATTTCCAGGCTGCAGAGATTTGTTTCCCTAGAGAAAATGGCTACTTTGGAGGGTGGACTCTATGGGATCATACCCATCTTCCCAACCCCCACCCTCCCAAGGCTCTATCCCCCAAAGCTCCAGGAATTTCCCAAGCTAGAGTTGTCTGCCCTAAACTGTTTGGGGGTGGGGAGATCCCTCAATAAGATCAGTGGTGACTAGTTCCTTGAAAGTCAGTTTGTCTACCATTACTGGTCTTTCCCTGGAATGTACAGCCACAGGAGAGGGTCAGTACATTCCAATGCATATTAAACCTTGCACAGCACAGTGGCAAAGGCCAAGAGGCACATTGCATGATCTGACTGTGCAGACTAGAATATGTCCCAGAAGCCTTTGCGAAGTAGAGGAGTTCCATGACAGACGTTCCTTAGCAGACGAGGTCACTGAAGTTTGAAAACTACTGGCCATGGCCATTACAATGATCAGAAATTACATAACAGTTTAGCAGTGGTTGGCCCTGACTCTCCTTGACCGGAACAGAATGTAAATCAGGGAGATTCCCCAGCTCCCCTGAAAACATAACAGAATACTGCAGGCGACTGCCCCAAATCTTATTTTCCCCTGCCTGGTGTTGTGCATCAGCCAGGGCTCAGTGATAGCAAGGACTCTTCAGGAGAAGAGGAGCCTCATGTAACCAGCCTTGAGTTAACAGAAGCTGACCAGCAGGAAAATGAGCTTCAGGCTTCTCAGAATTCACAGCCAACAGCTGGTGCAGACCCACCGACACCCTCCAGCCCTGATTCAACAGGTGAACCTCAGTTCATTCCCAGCCCACCAATATCACCTACACCCTTAAAGCACCGCAGACAGAGGCTGAGAATAGAGCTACAGAAAAGATGGCAAACTGTACACCTCCTGGCCTGATGCCAGCTGCTTGCTGATAACAAAAATGAGTAGCTACAGGATTGCTTCTGAGCAACTGGTTGCAAGCATGACCCTCAGGCATGGGGTTATAAAACCAGCCAAGAAAGGCTGATAGGCGTGAATGCGTGTACAATAGATGCTAAGCATCTTGCCTTGTCTGTACCTTGTCTGACTTCTGGACCTCTGACCTTGGACTGAATGACTCTGCTTTGTCTGACTTCTGGCCCCTGCCCTGAACCAAACGACCC